CTTTAGTCTTTGCAACTTTAGGGATCTTATCTATTCACGAACAGCTTGTAACACTCCAAAGAGAAAGGCAAACTTGAAATCGCATCATATGACCCCTTTAACATTATTTAATTTATCCATTATACTGAAGAGACCTTTTTGGAAGATATTGTTTTTGTTCTAGTTTTTCCATGAAATACCAGCACATAGATCCTTGCCTCTGCCTGTTTTCCGCAGCTTCTCCACAATGTTACAGTTTTTGACTGGCGTGTCTCTTTGACTACTGCATCTTTGAGCCTATATTTAGTAGAAGTAAAATACTTAAGTACTGTTAAAATCAGATACTCTAAGATTTTTACTCAAGTTGTTTTTGAATTGGTGACTTGTAACGTGTAGTGGAGTAATTTTCACTGTAAGGTATCTGTACTTTTACTCAAGTATGGTTTTTAGGTACTCTTTACACCTCTGAAAACTGATAGCCTGACAATGAATGAAAAGAAAAAAGGTTTTACTGAAGATACAGGAAGTCAGTGGGCAGAAACAAAAGCCAAGGCCACATTCAGAAGATCTTGCTGTTGCAAAAGTGATAGGATGTGGTTACAATGATGGCAATACTCCAGCCTTTACAGCCAATTCTGGTAATTTTTAGATTCAGAGGCAGGCTAGCAAAGCAGAAACACAATGACAATGGAAACTCAGCATGCGTGAGATCCTCTTACTCAAATTTGACGTTTTACTGGCTCTCTGTGGTTGAATTAAAACCACATACTCTAGATATCCAAAGTCGGAAACAAAACCTGAAGTTTCAGCCTTCAGACTTAAAAGGAAAATATTATTAGACATTGATTTCAGCACACAGAAAATACTGAATTATTTTAAGGCAGTTTAATTAATATATGCATTACACAATGTGCATAATGTAAATGTAACGTAAATGGTATTTACAAAACTGTATAGAACCTTATTGCAGTAACTTGTAGGGTAAAAATGTTAACTAATAGGTATCACTATGACTTTCCCCAGTTAATTCATAGCAGTACCAGAAGTTTTCTGAAATGTGATGATTAAATGCATGAATGAGGCAGTAGCTTCTTAAATATGCAGATTTGCATACATTTCCAGAAAAGAAATCTGAGCATTAGATAAAGCCAGGTTTAAAATTCTTGCTTCATTTTGTTGACATGTCAAAGTTAGAGAGGATTTTGCATATCTCTTTTTATCACTCCATAAATCAGAAAATACTGTCAACAAATCGGCATTTTAGAAATGTATAATAATATATAAATAACACGACTGTGAAAACCTTCAGAATATAGTCTGACAGGTAATGTTAGCTCTGGATCATCTGGCTTATTGACCAGCACATGAAAAGACAAGTTTTGCCTGTAGTGTCTTGCCTTGAAATGTTAAGCAATACAGTTAAACAAATCGGTTATAAAGATTTACAATACATTTTAACAGATTGTGCATGGTCTGCATTTCAGATTACTGCTTTATGTTCTAATGCACCGTTTATTTCATAAAGATCTACATTTAGATTCTACATTTAGTCTGGTGGGAATCAAGCTACAGGCAGAATATCTAAATGTTTGGCATTGGACCAAGTTTGAAATCTCTTCTACCATCCACATGTACACTCTTAAAAGAAATGGTTCTATTTAGAACCAGAAATGGTTCTATCACCCGCTTCATATATGGAACCCCAAAATGGTTCTATATAGAACCATTTTAATGGGTTCATTAAAAAGAACCCCAAATGGTTCTTTGAATCCAAGTTAGATGGTTCTTTTTAGAACCATTTAAGGGTTCTTTATTATTAAAAGTTATTTATTATTTAATAAGAAAATATAACCAATCCAGAAAATTAAAAAAAGTTTAAATTTATTAAAGTTATTATACAAAAAGTCAGATTTAAAATTGCACCTCTGTATATTCTGTACTAGACAGCAAAACTTGAAATTATTTTACATTTAAAATGTTTAATTACATTCAACCATTTAGTTTGAATTATTTCACTTAAGCATTTTCACTTTTTAATAAACATACATAAGCTTGTATATGTACATACAATACATAAACAGTACTTAACTTATACATGTATATCTGAAATGAGGAAAAACAAATCAATGCAGATAAAAACAATACACGAACAATTGAAACATCTATTAAACAGCACTACAATTTACACAAGTTGACTGTACATTTTTAGTACTGGTATTGGTGTTCTTGTGTCATTGCAACATCTAAGTTTAAGCATATATTTTTGAATAAAAGTCATTGTGTGCTTAATGGCAACCGGGTATTGCACATTGAAAAGAAAATAGACTGCAAACAGGCATTCCACACCCTGTGTCATGTCAATGTCTGCCTCTCTTATAATGTTCACGTTGTCCATTATAATGCTGACACTTTCAGCCTTGAGGGGATCAGGAGAGCCATGAACATGGTGGTTGGTGTAGGACCTTTGGGTTCCTGTAAAACAAACATTTACCTTTTGAGTGCTTTTCACCAATTAACAGAAGTCATCAAATAGACTTAA